TTATATTCTTATAATGGAGGCAACAACAATTGGAAGTAAGTCATGAAAATTTTTGAGTATGTGACTTTAAACCCAACCCATCATTTTTCTTGCGTAGATTGATGCTCACTTGGGAAGTGTAAATGATTTGGCATTCTTTTCCCCTCACAACCAACTTTTGGTCAAAACTTGTGCTGATGACAAGACCTCAAGGTTGGTTTCATAAACATATATGTATAAGGTTTGGGATGTGTTTTGTGGCCAAAGACTGTTTACTTTTGAAGGTCATGAAGCTCATGTCTGTTCTGTCTGTCCTCATGCCAAAGAAAATGTCCATGTAAGGGCCACTTTGGGTATTGATGTTGTGGTTCTAGTGATGTTTTAAGTTTTGAATCATCTGATTTACTTTCCGTTTCCTGCATAATATTATCCTACACTTTTTTTAATGCTTCATGCCTCAGTTTGTCTTTTCAACATCAGTGGATGGCAAGATCAAAATATGGTTATATGATAGCTTTGGAGGCAATGCTGTACCAAACTGGCTCGTAGTGCTGATGTTCAAAGGCTCAACTTATATGGCCTGCACTGCAAAACTGCAATTGCCATCTTTTATTTCCTAATTGATATCTTAGGGTGAAATATAGTCATGTTAGTTTTGATTGAGATCATGTAGGCTTTTTTCATGTGGGATCAGCCAAGGAGGGAAACAATCAGAGTCACGAGCAACCGAGTGTAAAAACATGGATTTGTTTTTTGCTTTTGATATTAAGAGAGATTACATGAGCCTCAACTAAACCAACATCTTCCATTGCAAAAATGCGATGAAGTGAACATTGAACACCTATCAAAGACTGTTTCGATATTTGTTTTGTTCGAACTACACCAATATAAGAAATCCAGGCCTTAGGTAGAAAACATTCAAGTTCCAACTTACGCCCTCATCTTGGAAGGACTTGTTCCATCAGCACCACCAATAATTGAAATGCTCTTGATCTTGACATCTGTTCTAACCAAAAAAAAAAAAAAAGGGGTGAGTTTTGGTCATTAATTGGGATCAGGGAGGACCTTTCTTATAGTTTGGTGACGGAAATAAACTTCTTCCTCTTAAAAAAAAAAGGAGTAAATAACTGAATTCTGCGACAACAACAACAAAAACAACAAAAACAAAAAACAAAACAAAAAAAAAACAAGAAATTTGTAGCTCAAGTAATTAAAGAGTATATACGCTTCCACTCTCCCCTGATAGCACTAAAACAATCCCAAGTCTCAGAGGCTGACATGAGAAGAAGAGAGCAAAATGTAGCCAAAGACAACTTGCCGGCAAACCTCAGATGCATAAAGTGAGAATGTTCTCATACTTAAAATGGTATGGAGTTGCTGATTTTCAGTTCTTGTAGTTCATATTCACTGCCGTCGTGTTCTTCAATGAACTGGGGTTGCATATGCAAAGCGCATTGTGCAATTATATTCTTATAATGGAGGCAACAACAATTGGAAGTAAGTCATGAAAATGAACACAAATTCTCAAGGAAACTGCAACTTTTGAGTACGTGACTATAAACCCAACCCATCATTTTTCTTACGTAGATTGATGCTCACTTAGGAAGTGTAAATGATTTTGGCATTCTTTCCCCTCACGACCAACTTTTGGTCATAACTTGTGCTGATGACAAGACCGTGAAGGTTGGTTTCATTAATGTATGTTTAAGGTTTGGGGTATATTTTGTAGCCAAAGACAGTTTACTTTTGAAGGTCATGAAGCTCCTGTCTATTCTGTCTGTCCTCATACCAAAGAAAATGTCCATGTAAGTGCCACTTTGGGTATTGATGTTGTGGTTCTGGTGAAGTTTTTGTTCTGAATCATCTGATTTACTTTCCGGTTCCTGCAATATATTATCCAACACTTGTTTTCATGCTTCATGCCGCAGTTGTCTTTTCAACATCGGTGGATGGCAAGATCAAAATATGGTTATATGATAGCTTTGAAGGCAGTGCTGCGCCAAACTGGCTCACAGTGCTGATGTTCAAAGGTTCAACTTATATGGCCTGCGCTTGCCATCTTTTATTTCCGGATTGATATCTTTGGGTGAATATAGTAATGTTAGTTTTGATTGAGATCATGTAGCCTTTTTTTCATGTGGGATCAGCCATGGAGGGAAACAATCAGAGCCAGGAGCGACCAAGTGTAAAAACATGGATTTGTTTTTTGGTTTTTGATATTAAGAGAGATTACACGAGCCTCAACTAAACCAACATCTTCCAGTGCAAAAATGCGAAGAAGTGAACATTGAACTCCTATCAAAGACTTTTTTTATATTTATTTTGTTCGAACTACACATATATAAGAAATCCAGGCCTAGATTTCTTCTTTATGTCTTCTTTATGAATTTCTGACTCCTCAATTCATTCCTACTCCTAGATCGAGGACACAATACAAAGATCATAGTAACCAGTACTGTGTTGTCTACTGGACTGCTGATCCTGGGCCTAACCCTGCTATTATATGTGAGGAAGAACCAGCAACAAATATATGGTAAGCTATTTGATTTTCTACTCTTCTGCCCCTCCATCTTCTAAGATAGGTAGGTTCAGTTCTATAGAAAATGTTTGCTGTTGCCTCTCTGGTTTCCCTATAGTTAGCTTGACAGTTTCCACATGTCATTTGGGTCAGGAGTCAGGACTAAGGTGGTGTAATTTTCATATATTTATTTATTTATTTATTTTTTCTGTTCTTTCGTGGGTTGGTTTTGTGTTCCTATGAAAGAGGAGGAGGAGACAAATCTTTCTTTCTTTCTTTTTTTTCTTCTGTCAGCAAACAAGAGGGCATGATCAAATGTCAAAATCTATAACAGAAATGCAATATCCAAAGAATGAAAAGCAGTCCAACCAGGAAGAACCATTAATGGATGAATATTGAATGCATAAAGATTTATCAAGTTTCAAGCAAGAAGAACCAAACCAATCGATCTATTGCTTAACCAAACCAGAAATAAATAGTCAGAATTTGAGATTGGGGCCTAAAAACCGAACCTTGTTATTGGCAAGACCATAGAAACTCCATGTTAGGATAGCTTCATCATTTCCTTCCACCGAAGACAGACACCAAGTCAGCAAATTTTGTATTTAGGGTTCCCATGACTTGTGCTTGCTTC